GATGTGTCTTAAAACAACACAGTCCTTTAGGAATCTCAATTTGAGAGTTGATGGTGGTCTAACTTTAAGTATACATAAAGTAGGTATAAAGTGTGACATTAGAAGTAGAAAGACAAATACACAATGTAATCACTAATCCCTATTTGAAATCACTTTTTGGTTTATAAGGCTGTCCACATATGTAAGCTAGATGATGGGCAAAATTAGTTGGAACGATAAACAGTTGAAATCTAAGATCTTGGGAGAGGATATGGTCAATCAAAGGTTCCATTTTCTAGCAACTAATGATGAGTTAAGAAGCTCTCTCACTGATGTCAATGATATATAGACCCCAATGTAGTTAGACCAACGTGGCTTGTTTACAAAGGCTACTACTGCACCTAGCATTCTCCGAGTGAGCTGTGCTAACCACACTGTTGACCCTAAAATCGGCTCCTAGGATCTGATCTTAAATTAATGGAAAAAGGGCGTGCCAGAACCAATTGTATGGTTCGATTGTAAATTGTCAACTTGTAGTCTCTTTCAAGGGCTGACTTTCAGACGATATGAGGATAAAGAGAACAGTGATACTCCTCTTAGAGTTCAAGAATTGCCTTAGTTAAAAGAACTTTTCAATGAATAAATTATAGTAAAAGATTAAGAGAATAGAAAAGGGAGGAAAACAGATATAGCAAGAAAAGAAAGGGAAATAATGAGGATAAAGAGAGAGGAATAGATAGAAAGAAAGATTGAGAAATATAGAAGGAAAGAAAGAAGAAATAACAATGATGCTATTCTTGGTAAAGCTTGAGAAAGCAAACAAATAATAATAAACATTCTGAGGGTGCTGGACCACTAGTGCAGCATGCCTCTTTGTTTATTTATAGAAAATATTGAAAACAAATTTCTACCAATTAGTATTCTAATTACAATAAAACTCTCACTAACTACTAAATTTAAACTCAAATTGAGATTCCTAGATAAAGATTAATTCCTAACTAAAATCTGGTAAACATATAAATCCTATCTAACATAAAGTGTCTTAAAAGATTTCAAAAATATTCCTATCCGATCAATGAGCCCATGCGTGCAGTTTTGCCCTGTGTAGAACCTGCCACATCACTGTTCCTTTATCTGTAATCCTTTCATGTATAACACTAGTAAGCCTTGTTTCAACTGAATTGTTGATCCGAATTACCTTCAGCCCAATCATGACCCAAATTCAGTGCTTTAAGGACATACTTCCAAACCCGAACTAATTACTGCATCCTCAGCCCAATTTTTGTGCAACCCGAGTGCCTAAACATCATCATTCATCAGGCCCATGTACTATTGGCCCATAATACTATGTTAATGTTTATCAAGCCCAATTAAAGCCCAGATCCAAATTACCAAAATGGGTGCCAACAATGCCCCATAAGTTTTGGTAGCCATTTGGAACTTAGGCTTCCAAAAGTTTAAACTACGCACCCATTGAAACTTACCCCATATACACCATATAGATTCCAACCCCATCATGTTATTAGTTCCTAAAAACTGTCGATTGACATTACATATCTAATCCGTAATTAATACTGCCGTAAACTCTTCTTCTTCTAACCACCCACGATTCATTTACCAAAACAAATCTGCATCAGCCAAACTCCTCTTCCAAAATTTCTCATCTCCATCAGAAAACCATTTTCTTCCTTTACAATATGTCTTCAAAAAAACAACATCCGGGTCTTAATCTCGAATCTCTAATACCAGCATCGACATCTCATACCCAAATGACCAAGAGTACCCTCAAAACCTTACCATCTTCTGAACTGAACAGTACCACACTTATCGATTTAGCAAATAATGTTAAGGGTCTTGGTCTAGTATTTGTCAATTGATTTCCTCCATCCTTGTCTCCTTTTTACCCTCAAGGGGAAAGCCAACTTCCTTTTCTCAAACCTGTGTATTAGACTAGTGAAGGTGAGAGACCGTCTCTGTCAATCAGGAATTGGCATCCTCCCATGCCCCAATGGAATGAATGGGTGGATCGTGTGTCTATGGCTAAAGGTGATCTATGGAAGCACATGGGCATCTTTAACATCATACAACTCAGTAAGCTTTCTTTTACTCTAGACAAACCACTATTTTTTGCATCTTTACACTTCTGGTCACCCACCACCAATTCGTTACATCTACACTGTGGGATGATGGCCCCAACCCTTAGAGATGTTTGTGTTCTAACTGGACTCAAACCGGGAGGTGATGATATCAATTACCTTCTTCAAGACCCAGAAACCAATTTTTACTTTCCTGAACAAGACGGCCCTCAACATCACGTCCAATCTCACGGACCATTCCTCAAAGAAATGATTGGAGAACCTGAAACTAAAGTAACTGAACAGGAACACATAGGCTTTCTATTGTTATGGTTATGTAGACATTTCTTGTGTGCCCCTACAATTCAAATCACTAAAGATCTCACCCAGTTAACCATAGCACTGTCTAAAGGAAAATCCATGGCATTAGCTTCATTTCTATTAGCATCATTTCTATTAGCATCTTTATACAGAGGCTTATCGGACCTTACCTTCTCAAGTATCTCTCGGTCTGGAGGACCTTTCTGGCTTTATCAATTTTGGTTATATGCTTACTTTCCTGAATTATCCCCCAAAATTCATCTCTTAACAAGTGACTCCCTAATTTCTTTTGGGTATGCCCGAGCTAAACCCAAGGAACAATCATTCCTTGATTGTTTTCAATTCTTTTATCATTAATGTACCTTTCGAACCCGCTCTCAATTCCTTCCCTTTTCAGACTGTCATTTGATCCCCTCTTGGTTGCTTCCTCTCACCGCTGATTCCTCAACAAAACAAATTGAACTACACAAGACTGTTTGGGGCCATTTCTTGACTGCAAGAGATATTTCTTGTAATACCATTGCTCCCCACCATGCAAAGAGTCAAACTGGGGTAGAGTTTTATAACCCTGCACAATTAGCCAGACAGTTTGGATTAACTCAGTTAATTCCAGTACCTCCTCATTTTTCTTATAACAAGAATTTTCATAAAAGAGTGAAGTTGATTCATAGCGACCAAGTCTGTAATGTTACAAATAAATTTCAAACACTCTTAACCAATTTTCAATATAAAGAATTCGTAGAAGAACCGGCCACCGACCCAACCTTCGAAAAATGGTGGTCTTCCTACATCTGTTTTACCAGGTCAAAAGAAATTATGCAGCTTGTCAATACTCTCCTTGGATCCTACAAGTTCATCTCCCTTTCTTTTCAAGAAGGACCTGTTGTCCTTTCCACAACTCCTACACAAGAGAATAAGCCCATTAAATCCACTAGTCAAATTCCACCTACAACTCTAGTAGGTAGAACTAGATCACGCTCTCGACAGAGTAAGTTGTGGCCTTTACTTGTATCTAATCAACAACTATACTGCAATATGGATTTGTTATTTTGTTTTCTTTTTATAAAAATAAACTGCAGGTGCTCCACCCTCGACACCAGAAGGAACAAATCCACCCTTGTCAGCATCAACTCCATCTGATCTCTACACTCCTCTTCAAAGCATACCTCCTGTAACTGTTACTCAGGTAGTACTTAGAATCAAACTTTAACCATTCTTCTATGCATACCACTTTCTGCTAATTCTTTTATTCAATAAGAAAATGAGAAAGAAAACTGTGGGAAAGAAGCCGGCAAGAAAGTCAGGGGCCAAAAGACACTTCGTCTTGATTGATGATGATGACGACAAAGATGAAGATGAAGTTGTGTCCAAGAAAAAGAAACCGATCACTGAAACTCCCATGGTAAAATTCCCTGATGCCTGATTACATTTCTAGTCAACCATTATGACTAACTCGGCATAAATTTCAGGAAACTCCACCTTCTTCAGAGTAAAAATCAAGTAGAGATTTTACTGTGGACACCATTGAAAAGGAAAAGATTGAGTTTTCAGCGGATCAAGAACAAAAACCTTCAGGAAAGATCTCTCCAGCTTCCTCTCAACATTTAACTTCAGCCCCAATGAAAGAACAGATTGGAGACTCCGAGGAAGTAAGTGTCCAAAATGAACATGATATTTACTTATTTATAACAATTGAAACTGATTCAATATATTGCAGGTGCAGAAAAACCCTTCTTCTCCTATTGTGCTGCAAGATCCAACCCAAGCTCACCATTCATTACTTTGGACTCTCTATTTGACTCTGTGTTTGATTCCCTAGATCCTGAATCCCCTGCAATTTCAACTGGACTAGCTCCCGATACTCCTTTAGAGGTAACACAGGCTGTGCAAGTGTTATTCAACATGGTGCAACAAGATCTCTCTTTTACCCCCTCGTTCAAAAATGAGTTGACCGAAACACTCTCTTTCCTGAGTAGCTACCCTGGATTTTCCTTAAATGATTCGGTCTTTTTCAAAAACTTTCAGCTCCAAATTCCTACTATCATCACTGCATTCATTGAGTCAAACCAGGTTCTCCAACACTACTCCACTCAAACCCAAGAAAAAGAAAAGTTGGCCAGAACTTTGAAAATGGGCAAAGAACTCCACTCATCTTTGAAGAAAGAAGCTGCCGAGTTAGAAACCCGAGAGAAGAGACTTCTAGCCGAGCTTGCTCAGTTACAGCTAAACAAAACCCAACTTAATGACAAAGTTATGGAATTAAAAATCCAAACTGAAACTGCTGCTCCCAAATTCAAGGTGTTGCAGACCCAATTGCCTCAGTTGGAGCGATCTAAAAAATAAGTGGAAACCAAGCTCCAACAAACCACCACCTCCTGGGCCGATTTCAAGGCCAAAATTGAAGATTTTTACACAAACTTTACCCGACTTTGAACAATTATCTCTCTATTTACAATGGTCTGTAATATGGTTTTGGACAATCTTACTTTTCATGGGGCCTGTTTTGATATTTTGAACAATATTTGCTATAATGACCTCTTGAACTTTATTTTGATATATCTTTATTCTGATTTATAGCTTCAAAACAACTTACATAAAAATAAAACAATACAATCCAATCTATTTTTACTTAGTGGAGGTTTTCTTGTCCTCCATAAGTTCAAAAATAGTTGGATTATATTTCTTCAGGTACCTTCCATTTATTGGTCTCTCATGGATTTCACCATCTAGATCTTTTAACCTATAAGTGCCTTCATGCAATACTTGATGAACCAAATATGGACCCTTCCAAGTAGGTGACCACTTGCCATAAACTCTATCCACCTTCCCAGGTGGAAGATTTGTTTGCCAAACCATATCACTCTCTGCAAATGACTTGAACTTCACTATTTTGTTGTAAGCCCTCATTACTTTTGCTTTATGAACCATAAGGTGGTCTAAAGCAAGTTTTTGGACTTCATCTAAATCTTCTAACTCGGTAAGCATAGCTTCGTTGTAATCGGCAGGTATAAGATTATGTTGTAAAGCTATTCTTGCCGATTTTACATTTAACTCCATCGGCAACACAACATCGTAGCCAAATGTAAGCCGATAAGGAGTTGTCCCTATACTTGTTTGCTTCAAATTTCTGTAAGCCCACAAAGCTTCTGAAAGGGTTTCATGCCAACGCCTTGGCTTATCTTTTATCATTTTCTCAATAATTTCAATAACAACTTTATTTAAAGCCTCTACTTGGCCATTCCCTTGAGCATAATAGGGTGTTCAAGTCACCGCTTTTACTTGCATATCACGGCCGAGTTGTAATACTTCATTTGCTCGAAACACAGATCCATTATTGGCAACGATTGTTTCTGGTAAACCAAATCGGTGAAAGATATGTTGCTCCAAAAACTGTATCACCGTGTTATGAGTTACTGAGACATATTCCTTGGCTTCTACCCATTTAGTGAAATAATCGGTGACTAAAATTACCCAATGATGACCCTTTGAAAATGGAGGATTAATCTTGCCGATTAAGTCCATGGCCCAACCTCTAAAAGGCCACGGTTTAACCAACAATTGCATCTCTATTGCTAGAACCCACTGTATTAGACCGTGCTTTTGACAATCTATACAACCCTTGGCATAGGTCATACAATCTTTTCTCATTCCAGGCCAATAATATCCATATCGACGTATCAACCATCTCATTTTGATGCTGGCTTGATGAGCTCCACATATTCCTTCATGCACTTCTGCCATAATCTTTAAACCCTCAAACTTGCTAATACACTGAAATAATAATCCATCATCAGCCGATCTCCTATAAAGATCTCCATCCACTAGAACATAATCGACTGCACTTCTTTTTATTCTTCTATCGACTTCTGGAGTTGGATGTTGCAAGAACAGGATATAAGGGATTCGTCAATCATCATCATCCAACTCGGCAACATCAGTGGCAAAAACTTCTTCCATAATTTGATTTCTTGCTTAAGCCGATGGAAGAGATCGGCGTGTAATCTTTATTATCATTTCCTTCATTCCACTCGGCACCCTGACTCCTGAAGCAGTCTATGCTAAATCATTAGCTATTTTATTCATGGCCCTTGGTCTGTATTCCAAAGTTACATTATAAAATTGGTTGACCAATTAGGTTGCCAATGAATGAAATTGTCTTAATTGTCAATTCAAACATCTAAAGTATTCTGAGATTTGATTAATCACCAAACTTGAATCTCCTACAATGTGGACGTCTTTAACTGCCATTTCTAACAGGATTTCCAAGCCGATAATTAATGCTTCATACTCGGCTTGATTATTTGAACACCTGAAATCCAAAAAGAAAGAAAATGAAATTTGATTCCCTGTTGGGGATATTATCACGATGCTAGCTCCTGAGCCTTCACTGGTACTCGACCCATCGAACATTAAAGTCCATGGAGCCATGAATATGGATACCGAGTTAAGCTTATCAAATACTCATGACTCAATTTCAGGCGAGGGATGATCGGCAAGAAAATCTGTCAATGCTCTTCCCTTAATTACCTTTTGTGGAACATATGCAAAATTGAACTCCATTAGTGCCAAAGCCCACTTGCCAATCCGGCCTGTGATTAATGGCCTTGATAGCATATACTTTATAAGGTCAGTTTGACAAACAATATAAACCAAAACAGGCAACATATAGACTTTTAATTTCATTGCTGTAAAATACAAAGCCAAACATAATTTCTTAATCGGTATATATCTACACTCAACTGGAGTTAAAACTCGACTGAGATAATATATTGCTTGTTCACTTCCTGCTTCATTCTCTTGTGCTAACATAGCTCCAATGGATTCTTTAGCAGTCGATAAATATAACTTCATCAGCCATTTCTTCCTTGGTGGCATCATGATAGGAGGACTCGACAAATATTTCTTAATCTGGTCAAATGCCCTTTGATGTGTATCATCCCATTTGAATTCTTCCATCGGCTTCAACTTGAGTAGCGGGGAAAACACATGTAATTTCCCAGCTGTATTGGCAATAAATCTCCTAAGATAGTTCATTTGCCCAAGTAACCTCTGCAACTGTTTCTTGCTTCTTGGTGCACTGGCATTAATAATTGCCTTAGTTTTATTCCTATCGATCTCTATACCCTTTTGATGAACCAAGAAACCCAAAAAGTTTCCTGTCGATACTCCAAAAACACACTTTATTGGATTCATTTTTAGCTTATGAGCCCTCATCCTCTCAAAAGATGCTTTGAGGTGGACTAAGTGCTCTTTCTTTGTTACTAATTTCACCACCACATCATCAATATATACCTCCATAAACTGGCCGAGCATATCTTGGAAAATAGAATTGATGGCTCGCTGATACGTGGCACTAGCATTCTTCAACCCAAAAGGCATTACCACCCATTCAAAAGTTCCGATCGATCCGGGACACCTAAAAGCTGTCTTTGGAATATCCTCCTAAGCTATATAAATCTGATTATAGCTTGAGTGTCCATCCATAAAAGACATAATTTGGTGTTTTGCTGCCGCATCAATCAGTTGATCAGCAATCGGCATTAGATACTCATCTTTTGGAGTTGCCAGGTTTATGTTTCGGAAATCAACACATATACATAATTTTCCATTCTTCTTGATAACAGGGACTACATTTGATAACCATTCAACATACCTTGTAGTTCGAATAAAGCCAGCATCCAACAATCATTCGATTTCCACTTTGACTTTGTCTACGACCTCTTGAGACATTCGACGAGGTGGTTGTTTATATGGCTTGTAGCCATCTTTAATGGGCAGCCGATGTTCCACCAAATCTCTGGATAAACCCAGCATTTCCTCATAATTCCAAGCAAAACAGTCACTATATTGTTTCAACATGCCGATAACCTAGGCTTGTAACTCTGGTTCTAATAGTGCACTGATATAAGTTGGTAAAGGCTCTGTGTCAGTGCCTAAATTCACTTCCTTTAATGGATCCTGAGTTTCTGCTTTAAGATCATCGAGCTTAGCTGGTGCTAATTCCAAGTCTTCCAACTGAATTACATCCAACTTTTCATTACTGAACCGATCGATCTCAGTAAGATTAACCGATGGTCCTGGCTCTATTATTGCTTCTTTTTCTAGCCATTTTTTGGCTATGAATGCTTGTAGCCTAATGCAAGCGGCCCTAAAGGCCTGCTGCCGAGCAGCTTCCATTTTAAGTTTCGCTTCCATCAACAACTTCTTCAATTATAGCAAGCCGAGGGAGTTCTACCTTCGGCCTGGAATTCTCCTGCTGCAACTCGCCGATTTCACGATCGGCAAGACTTCTTCTCATGGTTACCGAGGTTGGTCTTCCATCGGCTCCTGTTCCCACAAACCGAATAGGAACATATTCTTCGTCATATAAAACAGCATCTGCCGAATACACTTTTGCCACAAATGGCTTATCATCGGCATTTACTATTTTCACCTTATCTCCATCCCAAAAAATAAGCATCTGGTGTAATAATGATGGGATGCACAAATTTGGATAAATCCAATCAGGGCCCAATAACAAATTATAGGAAGCCATGGATTCAATAATAAAGAATGCTGCAAAAGATGTCCTACCTCCAACTTCTACTTCTAAGGGAAGAATACCTTTAGTACTAGTAGAGCCTCCGTTGAAACCACAAATTGTTACATCAGTAGGAATAACATCTTCCATACTCTTGCCGAGTTTCTTCAATGTGTTTGCTGGAATAACATTCAGAACCGAGCCATTGTCTACCAAGACTCGATTAATAGACTGACCTTCTACCCATACCTTAACATACAAAGGCCTGAGTTATTGAGTCATTGCGAAACAAAGGTTTTTCAAAAACCACTTTCTCTGCTGATTCTGAAGAAAGAATTGATAAATTTTGAATCGGCAGAGTTTCCTTCTACTTCTTCTCAGTATTTGCATTTGATACCGATGGAGCTTGGAACATTGCTGGTAATACAAATGCCATGTTACATGACATCTCATCTGGAAAACTGCCAAACTGAATTCTGAACTCATTGTTACGTCTAGGCCACGTCGGCTGATGCTCCTCATCTTTATCTAGAATGCCGAATTCCTCGGCTTGCACTACTTTGTTTCCTCCCTCAGCTTTTCTTTTTTCCTTAGCCCTTCTCCTTTGTTCCTTACGCTTTTGAGATCGAGTTAGGCCCCCATTCTGACATTGTTGAGCTTTAGGGAACTTTGGATGATTAACTCGAGTCCATCTATCTTCAGTTGAGTCTGTCCTTGGTTTCACAGTTTGTACTCTATATGAATCGGTTCCTTTCTGTACCTAAATTTTTGATTGAACCGGCGACTGCCTCTTAAAACTGGGATGCCAATTTTGGGAATGAAATCGGCTAGATATATTAACTTGCCGAGTTGGCCTTCCTACTTTCAAATGGTTGTTACTAGGACCACCTTGCTGAAGCTCCTCCCTAGGCTTTAATGGGAAAATAAGCCTCTCAAGAATTCCTTTCTTCTTTGGTTGAACCTTCATTGGCACATCTTCCTTTGGTTTTTGCTTTCCTTTACAATTTGGGCAGCAACCATGGTTAATCAAGACTAATTGAGCCTCCCTTAATTGCTTCTTCAATTCTGCCATCTTTTCAGGTGTCGCAGTTGATGAAAGGAACTCACCAGATATCTTTTCAGCCTCCTGCCGATTCTCTCGTTTGGCTAAGCTTATCATATTTGTAGATGTGATTGTAGGAAATGGATTAGTATCCACCTTCATGGTCTCTGAAGTTTTCTCTGGGAATTTTAAAGTACCTTCATCAATAGCTTTCTGCAACACACCTCGTAGAACAGTACAATCATTAGTAGCATGGTTCCAAGAGTTATGATACTTACAATACTCTTTTCCTTTCAAGTCACTTGCCGATGTAATCCTATGCCCTTTAGGCAAAGATATCATTTTATCGGCCATCAAGTGATCAAAGATTTGATCAGTTTTTGACAAGTTGAAAGAATAACTTTTCCCGGTATCGGCAGGACCTTTCCTTGCTGCCGATGCTAATGTTGATGACGAATTGCCCCCTGTGATCGGTTTAAGTTTAACCAATGCCTCACAAACGTATGGCTTTTTGATATTGACCTCTGCAACGTCAACTTCTGATTCATCTCCAACTTCTGCCGAGAATACCTCATAATTAGGGTCCTTGTACCAAGTACCCTTAGAAGAATTCTTCCTTTCTTTCTT